ATTGAAGGGCTAGAAGAGAGTACTAGAGGAACAAGATGGAAAATGAGGAAGAGCCAGATGGAGAAGAACAAAATGAAAAAGGATGGGAGAGGAGCTAAGATGGAAAGGAACTAGATGGATGAACTTGGATGTGCAGAACTAATATGAGAGAATTAAGATAGAATTTAGAGGAGACAGCAGATAAATATAAAAAGAAATCAGGCAAGAAAGGAGCTAAGCAGGAGAGCAGAATAGAAGCTGTGTAGAGAGAGACCTGACACAGAATAATAAAGTATAAGTTTTGCATACATAGATTCATTTCTTATCATCAAAGATTAATTACCTGCTGGTTGTAGATTCTTCCTGGACCCTGGGAGGGGACTATCGAGGGGGCAGGACCTCCATAGTCCCTGAGAAAATAACATGTTTTTATCTGAACAGTTGGTAATCCCAGAAATCAGAGGAAATTAAAAAATTCCTAGAGTCAAGTGAAAATGATATCACATCCTATCAGTACATCTGGGACGCTGCCGAGGCAGTTCCAAGAGGAAAGTTTACAGAAACAAACTTTCATATGAAAATCTTAGACATATCAACTAAACAACCCAATGATGTACCTCATGGCTCTTCAAAACAACAAGCAGCCAATTCTAAACACACCAGATGGCAAGACATAATAAAGAGAAGGAATAAATTAATACAATTGAGATTAAAAGAACGATTTACAAAGCCAAACAGTTTTTTTCAAAATGTTAATAAGATTAACAAACCCCTCCCTAATCTCATAAAAACAAAGAGGGAGATGATGAAATTTAGTAAGATCGGAGCTCAGAAGGGTATCATTGCAACTGATTCCATTGAAATACAGAACATCATTACAACTGATTGCAAAATCATATTCTCTGAAAAATTGGACAATCCATAAGAGGTAAATGAACTTCTAAATGAATATCACCCACCAAAATTAAGCCCCTGAGACATGAAAACTTAAACAGATCCATTACAAGCAATGAGATCGGAGCTGTTATGAAAAGTCTTCCCTCAAAGTAAAGCCTAGGACCTGATGGATTGATTGAATTCCATTAAAATTTCAAGGAACACCAGACCCATTTTTCTCAATTTGTTCCATAAAATAGAAAATGAAGGAATATTGCCAAATCCATTTAATAAATCTAGTAATATCCTGATACCACAACCATGTAAAAACACCACAAAAGAAAGGAAAAATAAGAAAACTGGAGATGAATTTCTTTGATTAACATATGAAAAAATTTTTTTAAACTTTTCCTTCTTTTATTAATAGATGTTCTATTCATTTTACATATCATCCACAGATTCCCCTGTCCTCCTATTTCCCACCACCAAGACTTCCCCCCTCCCAAACCACCCCTAACTCCCACCTCTTAACAAAATACTTGCAAACAGAATTCAAAAATACATGTATTGGAAGATTGTCTATTGTGACCAAGTGGATTTCATCCTAGGAAGGCAAGGTTGGTTCAAAATATGTAAGTCAAAAACATAATACACCATATAAACCAACTGAAGGACAGAAATCACAGAGTTACTTCAGTTGATGCTGGAAAGGCACTTGACAAGTTCAGTATGCTTCAATGATAAAAGTTCTGGAAACTTTAGGAATATATGGAACATACCTCAAAATAATAAGGGCTGGATACAATAATTACATGGAGTAAAACTGAGAGCAATACTTCTAAAATCAAGAATGATGCAAGTATGCACATATGATTCTCTCTTATTTTATATAGTGCTTGAAGATTTAGGTATAACAATTAGGACAAGAGAAACACATAAAACAAATAATAACATCAGTAAAGGAATAAGTCAAATTGTCCCTATTTGCATATGGCATGATTCTTTACTTAATAAATTGTGGATGCCCACAGAGGCTTCCCAGTAAGTAAGGTCAAGGTCAGAGAGGCTGAGCTTGCTTTACCTAGTAGGGCTGCATAATGACATGATTTGGCCACAGGCATGGTTTCCAGGTGTTCTGAAGGGTCTGCACTTGACTGTGCATTGTGGTTTGATCTTGAAAGGGGGAGGTCTTTTGCCTTGCTCCTTGGCATTATATAAAAAGTCCCTTAGAATAAATCTCGAAGTGACTGGGTATTGACCCTGGGCCTTCACGAATCTATCCTGTGTCTCTGTCTTTCTTATCATCTCTTATCTTTCTATCTAATACTTCCTCATTCTCCTCTCCTTCCCCCAAGAACCTTTTGCCAGGTCAGAGCTGGACTCTGACAGACCCTGACAAAGGATCTTAAAAGACTCTACCAGAAAACTATTTGACCTACTAAATACTTACAGTGATTTTGCAGAATAGAAATCATTATAAAAAGTCAGTAGCCTTTATTTATACCATCAGTCTAATCCAGTGAAAAAAACTAGGAAATATATCCCATTCAAAATAATTCTCAAAAAAGTATTTAGGAATATATCTAACCAAAGAGGTAAAAGACCTCTACAATGAAAATTAAAGGTATGAAGGAAATAAAATAATCTAGATGATTGGAAGACATTCCACATTCCTGAGTTAACAGAATTGACATTGTGGAAATGGCTATACTACTAAAATTAATTTACAGAATAAATATAATACCTATCAAAATTCTAGTGTTATATTTCACATGTTTATATAAAAATAACTATACAAGAATTCATATGGATCCACAAGTGGCTGTAAATACTGAAAGGAATCCCAACAGTAAGAACAATGCTGGGAGTATTCTAATACTCAATCTCAAATTACACAATAGAACTATACTGGGACTCACATAAAAGCAGACAGAGAGGATCAGTGGTAAAGAATAGAGGACATGGAAATACAAGACAAAACTATGCTAAAAAACAAAGTGAGTTTTGACAAGGGAGGAAGCAATTAACACTGGAGTAAAGATAACCTATTCAACCAATGGTGCTGGCCAACTATCAGCAGAAGAATAAAACTTGATTCTTTCACATTGTGCAACAATCACTTCAAAATTGAATGAACACCTCTAACTTTAAACCTAAAATCTGAAATGTCTAGAACACACATAAGGGAGACCATTTAAGATACTGAGGCAAGCCAACTTTCCAAACACCAATAGAACACCAATGACACAGAATCGAATCCTGTTACCAACAGATGAGACTAAGTGAAAATAAAATTTCTGCGCAGCAAAAGAAATGATTAGCAGAGTAAAGAGACAGCCTGCAGCTTTGAAGAAAAGCTTTACCAGCTACACTTCAGAAAACAATGAACCATCCAGAATTTATAAAGTGCAGAAACACCAAATAAATAAAACTGTAGGTCAACAAATGGGCAAATACATGGAAATTATAGCTTTTAAAAAGAAATAGAAACATAAATGGCCAATAGTATTTTAAAAAATATTCAGTCTCCCCAGTAGCATAGGAAAGACAAATTTAAACTACTTTGAGATATCACCTCACCTTGATCAGAATGACTATCATCAAGAAATCTGACAACAAATACTTGAAAAAATGTGCTGAGAAAGAATCACTAATTCACTGTTGGTATGATGCAAATTAATACAACCATTGAGGAAATCAGTTTGGAGATTTCTCAAAAAGTTAAGACTATAACTACCAAAGGACCTAGCAATTTCACTTTTGGACATAAACCCTTGCACCTCCACATTCTGTTACAGAAATATCTGCACCCTCATGTATAATGTTGACATATTTATGATAGGAAAGAACAGGAATGAAAGTAGTTGTTCTGGAACAGTTGAATGGTTAATGAAAATGTGCTGTATAAATACATATAAAACTGGAATACTACTCTGCCCCCCAGAAAATGAAGTTATAGCTTTTGTAGGAAAATGGATGGACTTCGATTCATGATATCACACAGCTCAGAAAGAAAAAGGTACATGTTTGTGGTTGATATATTAGGCATCCCAGTAAACTTATCTGGGGTCAGAGAACAGACCAGTCACTAGACAGACATAGAAGCCAGGCATGGTGGCACACACCTTTAATCCCAGGACTTGAGATCTCATGTCTTACTTGGGAAAGACACACACCTTTCATCCCAGGAAGTGATGGCAGGAAGCAGAAAGGTATCTAAGGTGTGAGGACCAGGAACTAGAGCCTTTTAAGCTTTTAGCTTTTAGCATCAATTCAGCTGAGATCATTTTGGATGAGGACTGAGAGGCTTTCAGTCTGAGGAAGGAGGATCAGCTGAGAAGTTGGCGTTGATGTGAAATGACGGGGACAAGGGGTTCCACTGGCAGGAAGAAGGGCTTGCAGAAGAGGTAACAGAGGGATGAAAAAGCATTTGTGAAAATGTGATGACCAGATCCATTACTCACACCCACTTTACGGCAAGTACATGAGCACATGCAGGGGTGCTCGAGTGCATGTGTGCATGTGTGCATATGCACCCACACCCACACACATGAACACAAAGATGGGACGGTAGATGTGGCACCAACTGAGAAGAATGAATACAGCAGTAATGGCATGTAGGTAAGAGTGATAGAGGGTGAACATAACCACAGTACGGTCAATATCTGCATGAAATTGCTAAAACAAAATAAATGTCATAAAAACCTAATTATACATGAATGGGACAGAACTCTTATTTCTCATAACACTTATGTTTTGGGTAGCTCCAAATATTTCCATGAAATCTTTATTAGTTAATACAGCTGGATGAAAGGGGGACTAATTTATCTTGCAAAAAGCAAATTTCTTAGAAACTTTGGTCACTCCTGTAATCACTACTATTGATTACTGTTGATAACAACCCAGTGTTTACACCAAGTCAAATACCTGATCATGGTGGGGAGTAGCTCATTTGAATGTAGAATAATACTGCTAATAATCACACCATAATTTGCTCCTGCCAGTGTTATCAAAACCGCATGCAGGGTCCGCATTTCTGTTGAGAGGAAAATCAGAGACAGTGGTCATTCTGAGGTGAAGGAATTCACTTTCCACTTGTAAGTGGGGAATACAGAGTGGAGAAACTGCAAGAGTAATAGTCCTCAGTGGGTAATAATTTAAGGAAGGTGACCTATCTGCAAGTACTGGTTTATGGAGAATCAACACTGTGGTTCATTGTAATCCTATACCTGGTATCTCTGACACATTTCAGAAGTAGAGAGCTTGATGAATCAAGGAGATACTCATCTACTTCCCTGTTTTCTACCCAGCATCTCACTCTCCTTCCTACAGAATGTAGGGCTGTCATGGAGAAATTACAGAGGACTGTGTACTCATTTGAATATTCAGCAGGAATGTGCCATGGATAAGAATGAGGGAGGATGAATCCGACCATATTACATTCTATCTAAACCTGCATGAATGTCAGAAACAAAAGTAAATGTTATAAAAACATAATACAAATTAGATGAATAGAAGTTGCAGAATCCTGGCACTTGCAATTTGGGTGACTCCAAATATGCACATGAGATATTTATTCATTTTCTATTTCAATATGATAGAAGAGTGTCATGGAAGGAGAGACGTGGGCAAGCTGGAATCAGTTCGATTTGAAATGGTGTTTCAAGATTCAAGAATAAGGGAGTTGCTGCTGACACTCAAGAGTTGTGCAGAGTTTTAAAACATACCACAGTCCCGAGCTTCAGCAAAACTTGAGTACTGCCTGGGAACTGTGCTCCTTGCCCACATCCACATAACACCACCAGCTTCAGCCTGGCAGTCCTGCTGCCTAGACCACTCTTCCTTTCTTGCACTTGGTTTGTAATCAACACAGGCAATGCTTATTATTCTTGACACAACTCTCCAAATTAGGTTTATACTTGCAGTGTGCTGAGTGTCATGACTACATTCATACAGTTTGGGAAACACCTTGTCACTCAAGTTGAAGCAACAAGCCTCAGTGGGACAGAGGATGTAACAGTACATTTAGATAATTTTGGATCAGAATTAAAAGATCTGAAACCTACATGACCACTATGAAAATATCATTGAGAATGAACGAGGGAGGGGCAGATACTTCCAAGGGATTGGAATGAGGACAATGAAGCAGAAAATAATTTAATTACATTTTAATTAAAAATGTAATTGAACAATGAGTAAACTATCTATTACTGATGTGTAGAAACTTGGGAATAAAGGGCTTCAATGTTCCAGATACTTCTTGAATGTACTAGACTTTCATATAATTAAACCACTTGCTGATTTTGATTTTCCCCCCAGTGTCTGATTGAAGGAAAATTTCCTAAATGTCTGCTTTCAGAAAAATCTCTGCATGTATTTTTTTTCTGGTAAGTAGGACTTGAAAATCACTGATGAAAGGGACTGGATATTTTTCCCCTCTCACTATAAGCTTTTTATTCACCTTCAGGAACAAACACTGTAGCCAGGATGGTGATTCCAAATAGGAAACAGAGGAATAGTTGACTTATTCTACGGCCAATGTGGTTCAGTAAAAACACCGCAGCAACACAGGCTGGGATGGACATTACAGCAGAGAGACATTGCATTAGGAAGACATTACTCTTCAGGTGTTGGAGATGGATGCTGAAGCCAAATATAGGAATTGCTGTTGTAAATCTGTAAGAAACAAAGAAGAGAGTCACATCATACTACTTAGATTGATGTCCAAAGCCAAGAATATGATTATCCCAAGAAGATGGTGTTAGTTGTTAACATATGATGGCCTATCTGTATTTTGACCTATTTGTATTTAATTGAGTGATAATGTAATAATCATCATAAAATCATTGTATCCTGACAGGACATATTACTCTTTGATTTTTAAGGAGAGGCAGAGTATTTGTGGAATGCATGTTAGATCCAATCAGCTTTTTAGAGTTTTTTTTTTTTTCAACATGATCTTAGGGAAGGGTATATTTTTTTTTTATTTTAAAAATACTTTCCTAATTTCTTGAGAACCACATACAATGTATTTTGATGATATTCTTCCCTATTCTTCCTCACAATTTCTTCCTAGTCCACTTTTACATCCTGACCACTCCCAGCTTCATGGCTTCTTTTCATTAAAAATAGGTATATTTTAATATAACATATTCTGATTAAATTTCCCCCCAACTTCTCCCAGTTTCTCCTCACTTTCCCTTCCATGTGGGTTCACACCCTTTCTGTCTCTTTTTAGAAAGCACACAAGCATCTAAGGAATCATAATAAACTAAGGTGAGATGAAACAAAAACCGGTCAGAATAGGACAGAGGAGCAGATAGAACAAAAGAGCAAAAGAGTAAAGCACAAGAAACACATACAGATACAGAGACACACATGTTCACACACATAGGACCCTGTACAAACATGGGAAACCATAATGTATACACAAATGATCTGTAAGATTAGAAAAATGCCTTGACACACAATATGAAACAAAAAACCCTACAAAGATACCACTGTGTTTTTTTGTGCTGGCCATGTACTGTTGGGAATTGGGCCTACCCTTAAGAGTGGTTTGTTTCCCTAGTGAGACTCCATTGGAGAAAACTAATTTTTCATTTGCAAGTGGCCTGGGTCCTTAACTGGGCTTTCCCCAAGTGAGGATAATATCACTTTACATTTGTATATATTATTGAAATGTATATACATGTGTAATTTACATTAGACATTTTATTTCCATTGAAATGGAGAATGACAAAAGGCAACTACAGAGAAGTCTGGAACATGATTGAAGATTCGCCATGAGTCTGCATTGACAACTCTGCCAGGGTGCTGTAAAAACATACCCCTCACTCTATAATTAGTTCTGTGCTTCTATATTCCAAACCTCTAGAATACCACCAGATACAGAAATCCCTCATTTTTATCTTCAACACTGAGTTGGGAAAATTCATCTCTCTACTGTATTAAGAGTCACTGTATGAAGCCTACCTCAAAAGGCACAGGAGAAACACACGCTTTCGCAAGTTGGGGGTGCGGAATAAGTCACGCAGAGAAGGTTTTGTTTGTGTTGCCTCCAGCTCTTCCCTCATGGTGGTTCTCACAACCTTCAGCAAGAGCATCAAGAACTGTTTAGTTTGCACAAAATGATGAGCATTTTGGAGCACACTGGACACTCACAGAATGCCAGGTCAGAATCTACTAGATATTGTTGTTTTTACTCTTTTCTTGGGAGGCCTGCCACCCAGCTCCCAAATAAATCCCTCATGGAGGCTTATTTTTAATTATCAATATCTGGCCTTAGCTTGACTTAGTTTCTGGCCAGCTTTCCTTAACTTAAAATGTCCTGACTACCTTTTACCTATGGGCTTTTCTATTTCTCTAACTTCGGTAACTGTGACTCTTACTCTGTTGCTTGCTGTGTACCTGGGTGGTTGGCCCCTGGGGTCCTCCTCCTATGGATGCTCGATCTCCAACTCTCCTCCCAGTCTTCTCCTTCTCTATACACTCTCTGCTTACCAGCCCCGTCTATCCTTTCTCTTGCGTTGCTGTTGGCCAGTTTTTATTAAACCATCAGGTGTTTTACACAGGCATGGTAACACAGCTTCACAGAGTGAAACAAATATTCTAAAAATTTTCTAAAATATTCTAAATATTCTGAAATATTCTACTGCAACTATTTCTGTCTAGTGAAAAAACACAGACATCAGGGGACCTATGGCAAGCATAATAAAAATGTTAAGAAGTGAGAGCCAAGGAGTTAAAGGAAACTCTTGTTATTTCTAGGGAGAAGTTTTAAACAGTAAGTGGCTACAGAATGTTGACAGCAAGTACAGATTTATTTATATTCTGGTTCAAAACTCCAGTCATATCATTGCAGGGTAATTTCCCACCAACCCCACAGTTCCCCAGAGTTTTCTTGAGTATGAACATCGGGAAATATTAAATAGAAGAATTAGATTGTGGAGACAGATAGAAAATACAGGATAGACTTGAGAGGCCCTGGAACCTATTACAATGGCCCCGAATGTGTCTGCCCCCAGGTATTTATAGAGACGCCAAGTTGTGGAGCAAAAGATCTCCCCCACCCAACACAGCCGAGTGCAGACCACCTCAGGCACCTGCACTCAGACCTGTGGTCCTATCATCCTCTCTACGAGGACCTGCTGGGTAAAGCCACAAGGAACTTGAAAACGGGCTCCCACATATCATAATGAATTTGAATGATATAGCAACTTAGTATGGTTCTCTGATTTGTGCATTCACGTGTGTGTGCATGTCTGCCAGTTTTCTTTGATTTATTTCATTTTGTCTCATTCTTCTTTAATGTGCATCCCATGTTTAGTCATTTTACCACTGATGGAAAAATAGACTTGGAAAAATGAATTCATCTCAAGGTTGTTATGTCCATTTTGGAGTCCTGATATTTGAAAGAATACATAGTGTGATATTGAGATGCAGGTTCTCTGACTGGTTGTATGTTCAGAGGCTGAGGTAAAGCATACCTCATGGGGAGCCTTAGAAGGTGGTAGCTGTCTTTGGTTAGGGCTATGCTTCTTGGCCCACCATGATGTGATGAGTGTTTGCCACAAAGTCCTGTCTCAGTATTGCCATGCCTGTTCATGATTAACTGAATGTTGTGAATCCATGAGCCCAAATCCTTTTTATTCCATTTTGTTGTTTCTGTCATAAGTCATGGTCACATCAATCTTGGTCACAGCAAAGCAAATGTAGCCAACAAAATAATATGGTGCTATATGTGCAGTTGTTATTCTTAAAAATCTGACCATGGTGTAGACTATGTGTTGTGGTTTGGTGGTGGATTTTGGGAGAGTTTTCAGAGGCAGGGTAGAGAGAATGTTTCTTTAGAAGTTCACTGTACTGAAATGCTGATCCAAATCTTAACAGTGAAGGCCTTCTCCATGAGATTTCAGATGGGAAAGGGCACATCATTCAGAATTTGGGAGGAGGACATTCATCTTTCCCCTTTGAGGAACAACAACTCATTCTGGCAGTATTCTGGCCATGTTCTGAAAATGTGTGTGAGGCTGAAGTCAAAGCAGTGCACTAATTTATTTACAGAGAAAATTCAAGACTGCACATCATTTGGGCTGTGACATGGTGAAGAAGAGGGGGCCTTGAGTGCCTATGCTGAGCTGGGTTTCTGTTTATGTACTCTGAGACACAGGTTCAGGGCTGGTCTTCTGTCCTTTAGGATGGATGTTCCCTCCTCAGTTAACATGATCAGGATAATCCCACAGAGGAGTGGCCAGAGGTGAACTAAACTAAGTCATCCCTCACAGATGTGCCTGGAGGTTTGCCCCTAGATCTTGTTGAGCTGACAATCAAAATTCACCATCACAGCTCTACTTTTTGTCAACTTCACATCAGAACACATCACCTTTGAGCCATAACTTTCCAACTCTTATCTCCATGTTCTGATAGGAATTAGTCAATAGAGAAATGCAAGTCATTTAAAAGTGCAAAGTTCAAGGTTCAGCTGAGACTCAAGAGAGTCTCTAATTTTCTCAGTGCTCTGTGAAATAATTCTTTATTTTGAAAATCAATAAAATATGTCAACAATGCTTTTCCCTTCATAATCCAAACTTTTACATAATAAACTAGATGATTTATTTCTAGTATTCAAGAGAAGAGGATAAATGTTCCTATTTCAAAGGAGAAATGTGAGGATATAACAACCAATGACTGTACCTATATAGGACTGAAACTCAGAAATGAAAACATTTAATATTGAAGGTCCATGTCTGGCATCTGGGACTGCTAATGGAATCTTCTAAGCACTAAAAAATTAAATAGTCTTTAAATATCTTTCTTCATGGCCATAGGTTAGTGCTGCTGTCAGCCTTAATAAAGATTTTGCATTTAGTGAGTAGCAGTCATTGAAGACTCACAATTGTCAAAGTAGGTGACTATTCAGTGTTTATCTCCAAGGGAAATGTCTCTATCACCCCCTTCCTGGTTACAGAAACATCATGAAAATGGTATAAAGGTCTAGAAGAAGTGGTGGAAAATGTGTGATATTCCATCTTACAGATATGCATTGGACTCTTGAACTTTCATCAGCTGTGATGACCTGCATAAGACGTGCCAATATTATGCCAGTAAATATACCAATCTGTGAGGGTAGATAGTATATTTTTGGTAAAATGGCAGGAGAGAGGCCTTGGTGGGTTTGAGCTAGTGTGCTCCATGGCAGGTGAGGGAGATATGCCATGTAGACATGGCCAACAGCAGCCATGGGTGCATGGCAGAAAGTCACTTACACCATGCAGACACAGCACCCACATGGAATGTTTTATTGAGGGAAAGTGAGAAGGGAAGAGAGCAAAAGAGAGGAAAAGAGAGAGACAGATTGAAAGACAAGGTAAAGAAAGAGAATGAGAGGGAGGAAGAGAGAGAAGAGAAGATTGACAGACACAAAGAGAGAGATAGAGGTGTGTGTGCCTTTTCTGCCAGGAGAAAGGAAGGAAGAGAGAGAAGGGGAGGGATTTTCTCTTCAAGAGGACTTTACATAAGATGATATTGTCAGGATGCTGGGCAGGTCCCCAAGGGGCATGTCTGAATGCTAACATTATTGAGAGAAGAGCTCATGAGCCCCATCTCCATTTCACAGCCTGTATGTAGTGAGTCATTGTTAGTGCACAGGGGCTCATAAAGCCATACTCCCTCCTGAGGATATTTTGGCAGCTAAAAGTTGCTGAGGAATAAATAGACATTTCTTCAGTCATGTACCCACATCTAAGTTGTCCATGTTCCTGTAGGTAAATCCTCAACATGTTTCTGTAAATGACTTAAACTAAAAAAATTAGATCACAAAAAACAAGATACAAAAGAGAGACAAGGATACTAGAAAGTAGAAATAGGACTAGTTAGAAGGATATGAGAATTATTAGGTTTGGTAATAATGAGGGGTTATAAATAAATCAATGCATTATATGCATGTATAAAATTTCAGACTTGCCGGGCAGTGGTGGCGCATGCCTTTAATGCCAGCACTCGGGAGGCAGAGCCAGGCGGATCTCTGTGAGTTCGAGGCCAGCCTGGGCTACCAAGTGAGCTCCAGGAAAGGCTCAAAGCTACGCAGAGAAACCCTGTTTCGAAAAACCAAAAAAAAAAAAAAAGAAAAAATTCAGACTTAATGCATTATGTATAACTTATATATCCTATTTAAAAGTTTAAAAGTGAAAGAAATCATCAAGGAAGGATTTTTTTTACAAAGTCCTCTTTGAGTGAAAGAACTGTATTCAATGATTTAATGATGACACATTGTTTCCTGGGCTCATACACATGTCAAACTTGTGTTTCCTTTCTGTCATAACAAGTTTGCATTTTGCTCACCTCCATGGTAAGGGTATCTCCAGAATTCTTCACTCCATTCTTGCATGCAACTCTTCTAAGTTCCTGTAAACCCTTCTGGGGTTTGTTGTTCACAATTAGCCACCTAGCTGACTCTGACAGCCACCTACTCAAGAAGATATTGTTCATCAATTCTCAGGAAGTCAATTTCCATATTAAATTTATCCTTGAATAGTTGTGTTAAAATTGAATACCTATCAGTTTTTCAGTTATAACAAAATGTAAAATCTTACATCATGAGGTTCGTTGCCTAGGAAAACAGGAAGTGATGCAGCCATGCAGTGCATCTGCACTCCTAGAATGAAGACCTGGAGTCACATTGATCTGTCCCCTCACTTGGATACAGGATTTAATGGAGGTCCTAGAACTAGAATGTGAAGGATGGTTCTTCAAATAATTTCCAAATTTCTTGTTAGACTATAGGGAATATTTATTCATCATATGTCTGCTCCCTAAATAAGTACCCAAGAATAATTTTTCCCCTAATTATATCATCCAGAGGAGCAATGATAGAATGAAACATTGTCTTCCAGACACAACAGGACTGACACATATATGAGCTCACAGAGACAGTGACAAATGCATTTCTTATATCCATATTTAATGGACATGGTCATCTCAGGAGTGTAAAACATAGAGGAGGAAAGAAAGCTCATACCTTGTGGGTATAAGGAAGAAAAATATTGGCACGGACATTACAAGCTGGAGGTGGTGCCAGTTTCGAAATACAAATGCCAGGCCTGTCATTACTATGTTTCCAAAACTGGTAGCACATAGCATCAAGATTGTCACCAAGGCTTTGAATTTAGGGCTTGTCCATTCTATCACTGAAAAGACAGGAAAATGAATCTTGATTTCTACTAAGGTGGGAAGGACATCAACATCAAAAATAGCTTGAACAATGTCGATCCAAAGCTCTGACTTACTGAGCAAAACACTATTCGTGTATATGATTGGGACACAAGCCCCTTTCAGGAAGTGAAGTAAGCAGTAGATGAAGAAGGTGGGAGCCAAAGCTGCACAGGTCCCAGTGATGGCCATTGGAAGTAAAGCACATGTGAGGATTAACCTCCTCCCAAACCTGAGGAAAAGACAAAGTCTCCTTCAGCAGAATAATGCAGCTGTTAAAAAGAGACAGGAAGCATTTTGTATAATCCCTGTGGTTAACTTTTCTCATTTTTCTATACCATGTTTTTCTTTGTCTGTTAATCCTTTTTGACCTCTTCCATGTTAGTAGGATCTTAGTTCTTTTAAACACCAACTCAAATGTCTTTTTGTGTTTAGTGATCTCTAGTGTCAAAGGTACACCCAGAGGAATGTAATCTCCAATGACTGTTTTCTAGAGTGAGTGAGTTGTAGATGATGAAAATACTCACATGTAGAAAGGACTGCAAAGCACAGACACTCACCTGTCTGATAAATGGCCACCTAGGAAATTTCCTACCAAAATTCCAATCACGAATACGAATTTAGCCACTGAACCCAGTACCTGAGATCCACACACCAGGTCCCACTGGAAGAGAAGGAAATCAGCATGACAGCCTGTCACTGTAATTTGTTCAAAATTATTCAACATGAGCTTCCTGTTCCTCTGAACCCATCTCCCTCTCCAGCTTCCCTTTGCATTATTACATGACTTCTACTATCCAGATATAGCTATACACACACACACACACACACACACACACACACACACACACACACACACACGTTCCCAGTTGTCTTTCTGTAATTATATAAGTTATAGTAGTAACTTGTAACCTGATCTAACAAGTTCTTAAATGTGGCCCGTTGTTGATATATTGTGCAACACGATAAACTTACCTGGGGTCAGGGACAGGAAAACCATCATATTAAACATAGGTTTAGGCAGTAGTAGCACATGCCTTTAATCCTACAATTCCTGAGGCAGAGACCCAAATGAATCTCTGTGAGTTCAAAGCCACACTGAAAACAGCCAGGCATGGTGTCACACGCCTTTATTCCCAGGAAGTGATGGCAGGAAGCAAAGGGGTATATAAGACATGAGGACCAGGAACTTTTTAGCTTTTAGCTTTTAGCAGCAGTTCAGCTGAGATCCATTTGTTTGATTCAGAGGCTTTCAGTCTGAGGAAACAAGATGAGCTGGGGAATTGACAAGGTGAGGTGGCATATGGCTTGTTCTGTTTCTCTGATCTTTCAGTGTTCACCCCTATATTTGTCTCTGTGTTCTTTATTTAATAAGACCACCTAGAAATTCATATACAATGACCCTAGAATGCAATGATTCATGGACCTTAATTTTTTTTGTACCAGATCCTATTCATCAGTGCACAGCCTCTCCTATGACTCCTCACAGAGTACAGCACAACTAGTGCCTGATCATTGTTTTTGTTTTACTTATTTACTTGTAAACTTTTGTCAATACAGAGGATGGAGCTCAGGGCAATTGCATGGGTACAGTGTACTGGCAATCACCCACATTCTGATCTATAAGGAAATGTGAGCTACCGGGAATATTTTCCAGTGTTAACAGTACTGAATCTTGGTCCTCACAAGTGCTGCAAATGCATTCTGCCATAGACCTACATATTTAGCCACAAGTGTGGCTTTGTACAGCCTCCTATGTGTTTTCAATTTTAAATCAAATCTGAATAGTGCTTGCTTGTCACATTTGGGCACTTAGACTAACTAGACACACAAGAATTATGTCTTTTACATTTATTTTCTGATTATTACTTAATTTAATCTTTGAAATTTCATGCATGTATACAAAGCACTATGATAATATCCAACCTTTATATCCCCTGAAACTACCTCTGAAATTCCAGAACACATCCCTTTTCAAACATCATGTCCCTTTTCTTTTTTTCTATAGTCTACTATTTGCTTAATGTTGCCTGTATGTGCACTGGAGCATAGCCAACCTAGTACTGGCCATCCCCCTAAATTAGGGTAATAGTCCCTCCCCTAGCAACTATCAACTCCTAATAGATCTTCAGCTGGGAGTAGGGACTTCTGAGTTCTGCTCCAGTCTATGCTGGAATTTTGATTGGCTGAATTTTGTGTTGGTCTTGTGCAAGTAACCACTATTTGTGTGAGTTCATGTATAAGGATGTTTCTTCATCTTTCAAATTCTTTTTATTGATTAAAAATTTTAAACTGAGCCGGGCGTGGTGGCGCACGCCTTTAATCCCAGCACTCGGGAGGCAGAGCCAGGCGGATCTCTGTGAGTTCGAGGCCAGCCTGGACTACCAAGTGAGTCCCAGGAAAGGCGCAAAGCTACACAGAGAAACCCTGTCTCGAAAAACCAAAAAAAAAAAAAAAAATTTTAAACTGAAATATAATCACACATCACTTCCATCCTTCCCATTCTTCCCTCGAACACCTCCCTCCAGCATCTCTCTGAAGGATGTCTGTAAGGGTTATGAAAATTCACTGTTGAGTAAGCTAATTTCAAAATATAATTTAAAATAAGGAATTTGAAAGAAAGTACAATACTTGGTTGGACAATGATGCCCCAAAAAGACCTTCAATGTTAAGGAGTAATCCTAGTGACAGGCATATGGAATAATGTTATACAAGTTACTGGTCAGAGAGGTCCCACAGCTCTCCAAAAGTACACAGGGTGTTACTCTTGCTCATGGTTACATACAGCAATTAAATGTTAAGACCCTATTTCTGAAAACACCAAACACTTTTTTTTGCGTAACATAGAGAACACTGTCAAACCAAATTGGAAACTTTCTCCTTGTTGCCTACCTTTCCTAGTTACAGATGTTGCTATGCAGACTGTAGGTAGAAAAAGGATATCAATGGCCTTACCTAGCACTTTACCCTACACTGCAATACCAACCTACAAGGCAGTGTGGTCATTGGTGCAGTAGTGACATAATTATTATATGAAAACAACCATTTCTGATTGGATTTGACCTTCTACAGAGGAAGAAAGTCATGCCTGAAAATGTAAAGCCACTTAGAACCCCATTACTTAGATGGAGATAGGTCCTGAGGAAGAAGCTACTGTTTTTATTTTGCTAAATGGTTCTGTTGTTTAATTTTCTTCTTGCTGTGGATATCACTCTATATAAATAAAACACTGGTGGCCAGTGACCAGGCAGGAAGTATAGGCAGGACAAAGAGAGAGGAGAATTAGGGAAACGAAGAAGGAGAGAGACACTGCAGCCACTGCCAGGACAAGCAACATGTAAAGACACCGGTAAGCCACCAGCCACGTGGCAAGGTATAGATTTATAAAAATGGGTTAATTTAAGATAAAAGAACAGTTAGCAAGAAGCCTGCCGTGGCCATACAGTTTATAAGTATTATAAGCGTCTGAGTGATTATTTTATACGTGGATTGTGGGACTGCGGGCCTTGGTAGAAGCTGGAGAGAAGCCCTCCAGCAACATCTTCTAAGTATTACTTCTTAACATGAGCTCATTACTAGAACAAAAGGATCAGAAACCTAAATCTATATTTATGTTTGAGTCATTAAAATTATTGAATAAGACTCTTGCAATTAATCAGGCAGTAAGTAAGCTCCAATAATATACACTATTTGTGATATTGCCAAACTGTAGTAATGAATTCACTGAGGGGTTGATATTATTGAAGGCACTTACCTGAGGTTAGCTATGGCTTGTTCTGCTTCTCTGACCTTCCAGAATTCACCCCAATAACAGTCCTCAGGTTTGATTTTATTAATAAGACTCTCTAAGATTACTGCTACATCTGGCACCCAACGTTCATGGTACAAATTCATGAAAAAGCTGCTTGCCTGTGGCCTTGTGGGCCCCAGCTAAGGCCCAAGCTACACTCGGCTGGTTGTAGTGGTGTACGCCGGTTGTATCTGCTGAAGGAGGCAGAGGCAGGAGGGTGCCGAGTTTGAGGCCAGCCTAGGAGGCTTGCTAAGGAGAAGCCTCGGCTGGGACCTAGCCACAAATGGTGGTGGGATCATGGAGGCAGCAGCAGCTGCTCTGAGTTGCTGGTTCCTTTTTATCATGTTGGTGATCGCGGTGATGCTGCTACCTAGGACAAAGGATGTACTACTGTTTGTTCAAAGAAGAATTACCAGGACCATCGTGTTACAAGAAAGCATTGGCAAAGGTCAGTTTGGAAAAGTTTGTCAAGACAAATGATGGGGAGAAATTGCTGTAAAGATTTTCTCTTCTAGGGAAGAACATTCATGGTTCCAAAAGACAGACATTTATCAGACTGTGATTACTCCAAACCACAGAGGAGGCACAAAAAAAAAATCTGCAGGCAACCATGACCACACACCTAACACTGACTTTGAAATCTTCAAAAGAAAGACAGGACTCCACAAAGATGATTCCACATGGACTATGGTAAAGTCATTAAGCTGATTAACACCATGGAAATATCTACTTTGGACTACAAACTGCTCAGGACAATTTCGAGATGGCTAACCGAGATGATCCAGCCTGACAGAGTACTTGAACAAAGACTTGAAACAAGCCCTGCATTCTCTCAGTATGCAGCGACTGGACAAATGATATAGGACTTGACAAGTAACTAAAAATTTTTCTTTTCAGGAAACCCTAAAGATGTCTTTGTCCCCAGAAAACAGGAAGTAATTTTAAGAAAATGATTCCCAGATTCCCAAGAGGTGGGATAGGTAGTTTTTGGTTGTTTAACGAGTTATGGATATTGTCATTGTTTGTAATGGTTGGTTACAAGTTGTTGATTGTTAATGGTCAGGAAAAAAGCTGAACAACGAGATTAGATTCAGAAGTTTTGTTTAAAAAAAAGAAAGAAAGAAAAAGAAAAAGGAGAATATAGGTATGAAGTAGATCAAATCTACTCTGAGAAAAATGATAAAGAAATAATAGGATAAATGGGTAGATCACAGAATCTACACTAAAAAGAAAAAAGGAAGATATAAAAATGACAAAAGGTAGATTACTGAATCTATTATGAAAAAAAATACTTTTAGAAAGGAATTACTTGTTTTAAATAGGATAAGTAATAAAATTTTGTCTGAGTTTATCAAATGTTACTGGACTGGACATTGTTAATATATATATAGGACGTTTTTGTCTGAATCTGTCAAATGTTAATGGACTAGACATTATTAATGTAATTCTTGACTGCATATATTGTATATACTTATTGGATAGTTTTTCTTGTATTAGTGATAAGCTTTTTTAAATTTTAGACAAAAAAGGGGAAATGTGGTGGTATTGTGTTCCCCAAAATATTGTGTACCCTAATAAACTTATCTGGGGTCAGAGAACAGAAAAGCCACTAGATACTTAGGATAGGCAGTGGTATCACATGCCTTTAATCCTAGCATTCCAGAGTCAGAAATCCATGTGTTCAAGGATACAGCCAAGCATGGTGACTCAAGCCTTTAATCCCAGAAAGCAAGCCTTTAATCCCAGGGAGTGATGGTAGAAAGCAGAAAGATATATAAGGCGTGAGGAACAGAAACTAGAGGCATTTGGCTGGTTAAACTTTCAGGCTTCTAGCAGCACTTCAGCTGAGAGCCATTGGGATGAGGACACAGAAGCTTCCAGTCTGAAGAAACAGGACCAGCTGAGAAATTGGTCAGGTGTGGTTAGCTGTGGCTCGTTCTGCTTCTCTGACTTTCCAGCATTCACCCCAACAATAGGCCTCAGGTTTGATTTTATTAATAAAACTCTTTAAGATTCCTACTACACTTACCTCAGTCACAGTGGTGGAGAGGAAGGTGCTTTGTTCATATACCCAACCATCCACACAGGGCTCTGTGTCTGGCTCTGTCACATTGGAGAAGGTGCCATTCAGATGAAGCAGATGCCACTGTGGTTGGACAAAGCGACGGCACTTGTCTGGCCTCAGGTTGGAGTCCAGTGGGATGGAGATCCTCAGGAGGTCATCTTGGCTCAGGGTTCCACTGTCACTGTCAGAGACAGTGTCATTGTCAAGAATATGGACCCAGCATCGATGACCAGGGATGGCTGCAGTAAAGTTCTCCAAAACAGTATGAGGAGTCACCATGACATTGCAAATCAGAAGGAAAGCCATCTGAAGGATCTGGTATCTCCCCATACTTCCAACTTGATTCAAGAGATCCTGAAAGGCCATTGATGCTGAATGACTGTCTCCAATGGGAAGCAGAAATGCCTACACCTAGGGGAGTATAAATATTTAAGTAAAGTTCTGTGTCACAGAAACACACTAAATAGGATTGTTCTTGAGCTCTTCTTAATATGCCCATCTTCACGTCACACCAGTCACAGAACTGTGATTTTTTTGTGTTGTTGGTTTCAGGGAGGGACCTGTTTTCTACAAAGTAACCAAAAAAAATCTGCTAATATTTATCCTATAATCCAGTCTGTTAAACATTTACTTTGTTAGAAACTTTGAGCACCACCCACCATGGTCACTGCTGGTAAATGACCTGTAATTCCCTTTAAATAAACCAGAGTTTATCTGTTGACAAATTTCTAAACAGTCTTATTAAGTAAGAAACACAGAACCAAATACAGAGGTAATAGCCAAAGAGATCAGAGAACTAGCGAAGAGCCACCACTAGCCTTATCTTACCTCCTCACCACAGTTGCTTCCTCAAAGAGAGCTTCCTCCCATATAACCTGTGTTTTTATTGCCTTCCTGTTCTGCCTTGTCATTGGCTCTCAGCCCAGCCACTTGACTTTCTCATCACTGCCTGTCTATACAGACCTCTAGGTCTCTATGGTTGGTACTGGGATTGAAGGCTTGTGTCATTCCACTTGGCTGTGTAATTGACTATACAGAGACTCTGGCTGCCATGTGATCAGATTAAGTGTGAGGGCTACCACTGCCTGACCGCTATTCCTGGCTTGCTATGTGACCTCTTTATGTGACCTCTGATCTCCAGGCAAACTTTATATATTAACATACAAAAAAATCACATTTCAGCACAATTAAAATATCACCACATTTCCCACATTTATTCTAATAAACAGAAAATAGAAAAAAGTTATAACTAATATAAGAAAACCTATATACAATAAGTATAATAACTATATACAATATAAATAAGTAATAAATACCTCAACAATATCTAGTCCATTTGCATTTGACAAACTCAGAGAAAATATTTCATTATCTCTCCTATTTTAGTAAGTAATGTAGCTGAATCACTTTCTTTTTTTTTATCTTTTTTTTTGGTTTTTTTATTATTATTATTATTATTATTTTACAACACCATTCAGTTCAACATAATAGCCACAGAATCCCCTGTTCTCCCC